CAGGGCCGCCCGCTCAGCGCCGCCCCTCGTCTCTCCTTGCCTCTGCGGCGTCCTCCGCCTCGCAGGTGTGTTTGCTCACAGGAGGTGAGGGTTTCCTCGCAGGTTTCCAACACCCTCAGCACCAGCTCTTTCTGGAGGCTTGAAGAAGGGCATCGTCGGTTTTGCTGCTGTAGTTTTTGCCTCCCTCCCTCCTTCCCTCGAGGGCCGCCTTAAGGGGTTGTCCCATCTTCAAGGCTGATTGCAGGGGGAGGTGGAGGAACACGTTAAAACGAGGTGGTAAAGTCGTGGGAGAGGTGGCCTTGAAGACTGGGCTGCCGGCTGGGAAAGGGAAGGGAGCGGACGGAGTTCACCACAAACCTTTAACACCTCCCAACTTTGCTGTCAGACTGACTTAGGTAGATCCAAGATGACAAGCAGCAATGGCTGGTGTCGGAGCGGTGGAATTCCCACCCTTACCCCAGTCCAGAAGACGACTTTGCCAGCTCGGGCCCCCAGGCCCCCATCTTTAAAGACTCATTTGGGATCTGTAAGGCCCAAACTTCCAGCTGCTGAGAGGCGCGGTGTCCGAAAGGTGGCACAAAATTCAGGTATAATTTTCAGTTTATATGCTGGAGTTAGCTGTTAAAATGCACTGTTAACGTTAGTCAGATTGACTTTATGATTCTTTACTTTTTGGGAAGGGTGCAGCCCTCTCTGCACATTGGCCAGAGGGTGATCTGCAGCATTTCATAATTAAAAAATCCAGGTTATACGTTAAAAGTGTTGTGGAGGTTGCCAAAATACAGGGTAGGTACTGCTGCAGGAATTTTCAGATACTTCATTGGGAAAAATTTTGAACTGCAGTTCCAAGTATTGGAGGGTGGATTTGAATTCTCTCTGCAAATAGTTGTACTCAGGCACCTACTGATCTTGTGTAGGCACCGACTTAGGAGACGTATTTTAGTTCCTATCTGAGAGATACTCATGCCTGAGCATATGGCAACCCTGAAGCTGAAGATTCCATCTCTCCTGGAGATGATACAAGAAAAAAGATTTCACTTTTTCTCTTAAATTTAAAAGAGCACATCGATCCTTCATAGAAGTAGAAATGTTAGTTGTTTATTCTGTAGGAGACCCCCAGGTCCAAGACGACTCTCCAGATATAGCCTGTTCCTTGGAGCAGTTTATCTTTCAAATGAAACTTCAGAAGCGTGGGTTTGCTTCAGTGCTACTACTCAGAATTTACAAAAGTTTCTTACGACTTGGCTGACTTGCTCCACGTTGCTCTCTGAAGAGTATGAGGGCTCTGTGCTGGGTCAGATGAAACATTCACCCTGCTGCTGTCCTGCTTCTGGGTGTGGTTCTGGTGACTGGGCGGGGGACCTGCAGGCTCCAGCGCAGTTCTCCTGGCTTTTTGTCCTCGCTGCCTCAGTCAGAGGTGCTGTTTCTGCACGCAGCAGCTCACTGACGGTGGGTTTCTTTTTCTTCAAATCAGTTACGTGATTTTTAAATAACGTGTGTGGCTGCAGAAGCTTTTGCAATATCATGTAACAGAGACTTCCACTGCGTCATAGTTTTGTGTGAAAATCCACAGGCTTCGTTGTTTTGAGTCTGCTGTCAGCAACTTTCATTTGATCACTGGTTTGCAAGGGAGGGAGGGTGGAATATATATATTGTATTTCGATGTAATATCTGTCTATATTCAGACGTTAAAGGATTTAGTACACCAAGTAAAGGCTTTGATGCTTTAAAAAGAGAACTTACACACTGTTCCAGAATTTCATTGTGTTGATGTTAGACTCAATACAAAACAATATCGATCTAGAATAAATGTTTTTGCTTTTTTTTGTTCTTCTACAGAGTGTCTAAGAAGCATTTTTTTAAAGCCTTTAAACTGTCAGAGGGTATTTTCTGTCGTTAATTTTGTTAATAGCCTTTTCTTTTGCAAGCAGCCCATGCACTCCCATCACGAGCGCTTCTTCCAGAGAAAAACCTAGAGGAGTTCATTGCGAGATATGAACAGGGATTAATAAACCCAGTATCTGCCTTGCATCAGTTTGCACAAATGCACAACTCACAGCTTGAATTGAAAGAAACTAATGTGGCAGGTAAATATTTATTTTTTTTTAATGAAAGAGTATTTCCCTGCCCTTAAGATAATCTGAATTTCTGTGGTTAGTATCCATGGCACTAATAGAGATGATGTTTGTACTCCTCCCTATGTATGCTGCTTTTTGGCTGACTGTTATTGTCTACAGAGCTACGTCTCCTTATTAATTACAGAAGAGTTTGATCAGATAAACTGTATAAAATTCTGGCTTCAGAACTTTGTGGAAAGTGCATGAAGTGAAAGCCACCAAAATTCTTGTGAAGGGGAAAATTCTGAGTTGTTTTTTTGCTAAAATTGTCTTTTTGTCTTGTTCTTGGACTGAATATAATCACATAAAGTTGTGGATGAATCTACATTAAAATAGGTTTACTCATTACATCTGCTTTTTTTCTCCTTTAAAGGTGGCATCATAAGGCCTTATTTTGCCTTTTGTGCTGTAGTGGATGGTGTTTGCTACAAGCCTGGACTGGGAACAAACAAGAAAGAATCTAAATTAAATGCAGCTAAACTGGCTCTTGATGAGCTGCTTTACTGGAAGCGTACAGGGGCAAAGGCTTCTGAAGAGTCAGGTAAATATTCTAGCAACGTGTAACTAGAACTTGAAAAGCTTGGCTTGAAGGTTTCCTGTGCAAAATCTCTTTGTAGTTTTATTAAATGCTTCTGTCTCAAGGCCTCTGACATTGAATCCTTTGGGAAGAGCTATTTGTCATATGGTTCTGAAACAGCTTTTCCCTTGGTCTTTGGTGTATTAGGACTTGAATCAGTTTGTAACACAGACTGGAGGAGACTAAAGGAATTTATTTGTTGCTGTTGCACTTGATTTGCTACTCACTAGGTGACAGCAATATGAAATTGATCCGAAGTGATTTTGAATTTTTATGATTAAAAGGCCTCAACACTAATGTGCTGCTTTCAAAAGATTTCAGTTACTATAACATTTATCTTTTAAGGGTTGTTGCCTAAATGGTTCTATGCTTACGAGGACTTCAGAATCAGAAAAGAAAGTTCATAGAGAATTAGAAACTTTTAGTGCAAGATCCATGTTTTGAAATTTGAAACATTCATCCCAGCTTGAAATTTTGTTAAATTCTTAGGTCCTTCCTGTATCTTGACTCCAGAAAACTCTGCTTATGTTTCAAGGATCCATTCTGGTAAGATACAGTCTTGGTTTTCTCTAATGATTCAAAGTACCCAGCAAGTGCTTGATTTTAGTTTAGTTTGTTGTTTGTTTATTAATTTTTCTTTTAATACATTTGGTGATAACTGTGAAGTTACTGTTGTTTTAAGCATCTTCTCTTTTTAGAATACTGTAAGAATTTTAGGGTCACTGCACATAACTACAGTAACTTGCTTGAATTTTAGGGTTGAGTTGGTGACAGAAATAGAAATTTTATTTCTGTGCTTATATGAAATACCGTGTGCAGTAGGTGATCAAACATGATCCATATCCCTGATTTATTATAATGAATAATCAAAATATAAATTGTTTACATATTGTTGTCCTGTATGTGTCCATCTTCAGAATCCCAAAAATGAGCATTGATAGCAGTGCTTTTACCATGAGTGTAGATTAATAATTTGTCAATCATATCTGTTTCCCCCTTCCCAAAATTTATGTTTTGCTGGCTTTTATTGTTTTATTTAGATGCAAGGCCACATGCATATCAAACACTTTCACAAACACTTGAAGAGTTATTTAACAGCCTGACTACCAACCACCCTGAGTACCAAAGTTGCGGCAGTTCACTGGCTGCCTTCATCATTGAAAAAGGCAAGTCTCTTTTGCTCATGAGTATTGGGGAGTGGAAAAACTAGACTGTCTTCCCAGAGAGACTCGATTAACACATTTCTGATCTGGCAAATAATTGTGAAGTGTACTCTTTTTTTTTTTTTTTGACGTGCTCTGTTCTGATGGCTCTGTCATGTGCGTAGTTGTGCTACAGCCATGCAAATATTCAAGACCTACATACCATTTACTTGTGCTGCCTCAAAGAGGAGTAAGGCTGTATAGAACAGTATAGGCCAGAGCAGGTAGGTATGCCCTGCAGGAAGCTGCAACCCATGGAGAACCCACGTAGGAGCATTTTATTAATTTTATTTTTTCATAGAATCAGTTAGGTTGGAAAAGTCCTTCGAGTTCATCGAGTCCAACCTGCTGGGGACGGGCCGTGTGAGAGAGTAGCTTGGTGGGCACCTGGCAGCCAGCCAGGATTAACCTACCACAGTTACCTGAAAAATAAATGTTTTCTTTTTAGGTGGGCAGCATGAAGTTGTAGCTCTAGGAACAGGAGAATGTAATTACAGTCAGTCCTTGCAGCTCTCTGGAAGAGTGTTGCATGACAGCCATGCCATCGTTACGGCAAGACGTTCTCTGCTTAGGTGAGAATGTGTGTGCACGTAGTTACCGGTTCTCTTGCAGCCAGTTTCTCTCAGTTTTACTTTTGCAAATATAAGTGTATTTCCATGTTGTAGTTAGTACTTTTTGAATTACTTTTGAATCATGTAAATTAAATGTGAATATCCATGTATTTGTAAGAAAAACGGTGGTTTTCACATTTGCCTAACACTTCCTTTTAGGTATTTTTATAGACATCTTCTGCTGTTCTATAATAAAAATCCAGCGAGGACAGAGAAATCCATATTTTGCACAGCACCAGGCTCGAAGCTGCTTACCCTAAGGCAAAATATAACTATCTTACTGTACATGAATCAGCTTCCAAAAGGAACTGCTCTGTTAGAATCACAGCGGTAAGTACCCTGGTCTTTTCAGAGGCGTTGTCGTGGAAGATTGATTTCTTTGCAGTGACAAACACATTATGAGCATGGAAAATATGCATTGTTACACATTTCTAAGACAGGGAGGGGCTATTCTGAATTTTTTTTTTCAAAGGTTGGAAGCGTTAATGTACAGGGTCATAGTGATAAGTGCCTGAGATACAGCTCAACGTAGTGGTACAAAAAACTTCCATGGGAGCTATAGTTTCAGGACGATGCTTTGTTTATTACAGATAGGCGCTTACCTTTCAATCCCCCTGCCAAGTTACTATTAAAATACTAATAAATCATTAATTTAACCACTGACCGAGTGGATGTACTGACTTAATGTCATCCTTTTTACTACAGGATCAGAATATAAAATCCCTGCTCTGCTTGGTAGAAGAAAGTTAATGAAACTTGTTGGGACAAATATCTTTACGCTTCTCACTTCTGTTAAATTCCTGAAAGCTTTTTTTTTTTAAATAATTTTCACATTTAACTGTAGCATTCACTGGCTTATGAAGTTTTTATGACCAACTTTATTTTTTTTGTCCCTTGTAGTGAGTGGCACAGTGGAACGATAACCCTCTGAATAGCAAAATGTGGCCCCTTCTTAACAGGGCTTAAGTATGTTACTTAAGCCAGGATTAAATGGTTGCTTTGTAATAACGTAGTAAAGCAGGAGCAGCTTTGATCATAATGTTGTAAGTTACGATAGAACTGGGGAGAGTTAGCTCAAAACCTCAGGCTTTGAGTTCTTATCCCTCTTCATTTAAGGTGAAAAGCTATGTTTTACTTCAGAATATTCACTGGTTTGTCTCCATACCGTGTTCTAAATATTTTGAAGAATTGCAGCGTAATTTATATTTTAGGGGGGATTAATAACCTTACAGCTGCTTTTTCACAATCGCCCAGTAACTTCTGTCACAGTTTAAGTAGACGCAAAGTGATAGTGTGTTTGCAGCGTATGTTGGTCTTTTTTAATGTTTGCACAACTGATGGCTAAAATGAGGCCGAATTGCTATTTTTTATTTAAATACTGATTTCAGTGTTCTAGTCACTTGAGCAGCTGAATGTGGTGTTTCCGAAAGTTACAAGTATTGAACATAATGTAGGGCCCAGGTCTATGGATAGTTTTCTGAGGAACATGTTAGATACTGCTTTACAGCCATCCTCGATTAGAGGACTTTGGCACTGAAATTCGTTTCCTTGTCTTACTTTAGACATCTCAAACCACAATCTATATCTGCTTATGAAGCCAATGAAGCGCTGAGTCTTCACGTTGCTGTAGAAGGCAAGATTTACTTAACTGTTTGTTGTCCACCAAGAACTGTTCGAGCAAGCAGTATGTCAGCCAGTGACAAATTAACAAAATGGGAAGTGGTTGGTATTCAGGGAGCGTTGCTGAGTCATTTCATTGAACCAGTGTATATCAACAGTATTCTTGTAGGTAAGCTAACTGCAAATTCTGGTGGGTTTTTTTGTATGTTTTCATGCTCCAGTTTGGTTGTATTGTATAAAACATGGACTAAACCACCATGGTTCTTTAAAGAATGACGGTGTTTTTCGGCAAAGATACCGTGTGTATTGTATTTTTTTCTACTTATTGTTAAAATACCCTCATGTAAAACTCTGCTAGGATCACTCTTTTGTGCTTGTGGGTTTGTTTTAGCTTCCCAGGTTGCACTGCCCTCACTATATGTTAAAGTAGCAGAGGAGATTCAGCAGTGTTTTATAACAAAACAAATTTTAGATACTGAGACAGTATCAAGTGTGACAAGTGCTGTGTTAACTCTTCAGTTAGATCTGGTGACTTTAAGGTGACAGTGTTAATCTCATAACTGTAGAATTGATCAGTGGTGGAAGAACTGCCAGTCATTAACTAAAAATGCTCAGTTTCACCCTGAGGTATTTTAGCAGCTCTATTGGAAAGTGTTCGGGTTTGTGCTGCTTTTTCTTTTTTTTTTTTTTTTGATATACTTAAGACTGCCCATGTTTTGTTCAATAGGAAATGGCAATTGCACAAGTACAAGAGAGCTAGAAGTAGCTATAAACCAGCGTGTTAGTGATGGACTTACATCGCAGCTTCCCGTGCCTTATGTAGTGAACAGATCTCATACTTACTTGGTGAATGCCGCACACCCAATCCGAACAGACTTTAAACAGAGGTCTCTTAGTTTGAACTGGTCGTTGTCAGATGCATCACTGGAGATTGTGGATGGATTAAATGGAAAAATCACTGAAAAGTGAGTATTTGCTTTCATTATGTTCGAAATCATGACTGGCCTTGTTGTTCTGTTCAGTTAATTGGAGGCCACAGTATTACCCAAATGAGAGAGATTCTCTTCAGTGTTAAGTAAATGCATCCTATGATCAGATATATGTTTAGAGATCTTGAAACTGTACAGTCAGATACCTTAAATAGTTCTTTGAATTGAGATATCTGTATTCCATTGTCTGTTGTAGCAAATGTTTTAGTGTTCACAGCACATAAAATCAATTAGCAGCCTCCTTCAAATGAATTCCAGTTTGAAAACTGGTTTTGGTTGGCTTGTTGAGATTCCCACAGCTGCTGATTTACTTTAGCTTTGCTTATTTGAAGTGGAAGCAGAAGCATATGGTTGTATTCACAAAGCATTGGAGGAAGAAAATATCCTGTAATGAACAAAGCAGTATATCTGTAATTATATGTTACTGAATTTTGTTACTCTTTTTTCGACTGTAGTTCACCATTCAAAAGTGGCACTTACATGGCAAGTCGCCTCTGCAAGGCAGCAATGTTCAGTCGTTTCAGATCGCTTGCTAAGGGAGCAGAGAGGAATGATTTGCTTCAAGCTGCAACGTACCACGAAGCTAAGGTAAGCTCGTTACACAGTGGGGGATCTTTTAATGACAAATCTTTTAATGGCTACTCTCAAGGTGTGTTTGATAGCCACGGGTGACCCTCTGTTACGCTGGAGGCTTCACCTGAACATCTGGATCTCCTTTACTCCCTGTAATCTTTGCCTGAAAATGTCTGAAATTGCTGTTTTCAGGTAAAATTAGTCTATTGAATACATCCTGAAAAATTCTCTCTGAAGATCTGCCATGTGTTGTCTCAGCATGTAGAGGTTGCTGACCATTTTCCTCACCTAATATGGTTTAATATCAAGAGGGTTGGGTATTTTTTGTTCCTTAGTTTGTTTTCATAGTTAGGTAGATATTTTTCTACTATAGTGTAGTCTTGTGGGTGGATTCTTATGTCATAGGAGCAGGAAAGTAGGAATGGTTCATCGGAAGACAGCGTTAGGTTCCAGGCTTTCCTTTGTGGTATAAACACACAGAGAGATTACTCAAAGGGGCTACCATGATTCTTGCTGGCTCTTACAGCTCACTCATTTCAGGCCATTCTTGGAAATACATAGCCTCATCTTACTTCTCTGTTGTAGTCTTCCAGGATTTTCCTCTTCTTGATTCAAGAGATATATTTGATTTCTAGACTTCTGGAATTGTTATGTGAAACTTAAGCTTTTATAAGGTAGATAGCTTTTTTTTCCCCCCCCTCCTGTCCGAACAGGCCATTTTTTAAATGATTCAAAAACTACCTTAAAATACAATCGCTTCCTCTTTAGCTGTCGAACTGCTAACAGTGTTCACTATGCATTTAGATTTGCATTGAATGATACTTAATGTTTATTTTCTGTGTAAAGATATTACAAGGACTGAAAAGATGCAGGAAAAAAATGTTTAACGGGACAATTCTGTCATTCCAATAAATGCCCAAACATATAAAAAGACTATGTTTTTACGTTCTGTAACAGTTTCTCTCACTGTTGGTAACTAAGGGAGCTGTAAGATTTTTAAGTATTGGTTTTTTTAGGTTTCTGCTTGTGCATATTGCATGCTGGGTGTGAACCTCTGTAACTGTGGATGTGAACCTCTGTAACTGTCATTCTTGCAAAGTTTCAAGATCTTTCTTTTTCTTCTTTTTTTTTTTAGATAAAATCTGGATTGTACCAGCGAGCTAAAAACTTGGTTCAAAGCTACTTAGAGCAACATAATTATGGATCCTGGATTGTGAAGTCTCCATGTGTCGAACAGTTCAGTGAGTGACTGTGACGCGGATTGTATGTGAAGTCAGTCTGGATTATTTCTGTCAGTGAAATGTAACTCTGTTTAGTAAAACGTTTAACTGTAGGATTCATCTTTGCAGCAAGAAAAGTAATTCCAGAGCTGCTCCTTGTCAGTTTAAATGCAGTTACTGAACCATCGGTAAGAGTTTAGTCTTTTCCAAAAGTTAATGTTTTCTCATAGGTAGGAGTATTTAACAGCCTGGCAAATCTCTTTTGTTTTGCCCCCTAAGGCCACCTCTATTTCTACTCCCATCCCTGCCACACACACCATGGAGTTACTAACATGTTTTTTTCCTGTTCATTTCAGGATGGGAGCGTATTGTTTTTATTTTTTCCTGCGTTTTTCATAACTGTCTTTAAAAAGAAAAAAAAAACAGTAAAGGTTGGATTTTTTTTAAGCATACCAATGTGAGAATCACATTTCAGAAACAAAAATTGAGGTCAATATCTTTACCTGTAGGTATCGTTTTTGTTTCGTGTGCATTTGCCGAGTGGCTTGTAGTTTGCATTGTTTGTGGCAGAAGGGTTAAATAACCTGTGTACTTCCACTTTAAATTGCCAAGCTGTTACTCAGCTGTTTTGTGACAGTCACAATTTTTTGGTAGTGGATTTGAAGGGTTTTAAAGGGGTGCAAGCTGTAAGTAACGGAATCACGTGACGCAGTACAGAAGTCACCAGAAGCGAGAGTCCTTCAACTTTTATGGGCTGCCCCCGAAACCATCAGATGTTTGTGATCGTAGGTTGGTTGTACTCCTCCACAGACTGCTTTATTGCTGTGCTGAGGAGGCCTTGCAAAATTGTCTGCACACATAATAATCTGAAGAATGTTGCCTATCGAGAGGAAAGTTGCTTCCTTGAAAGTTACAATCTGAATGCGGTAGCATGATAATGTTTAAAAGGATGTCGTTAAGTGGTGTACTTGAGTTTTACATGGTGTTGTGAAACATTAGTGTATTTGAGCTAGAGACCTCACTGGGTTTGCTTGGTTTTCTCATGTCATGCAAGTGTGGGACGCTGTTACCTTTTCATGCGCAGTAATAGTATAGTACTATGGTCGTGTTCCAGCTCCCTGCTATAAGAGGATTCTAAAACAAAAACCTTCTTCTGGTATTTGATTTTTTTTCCCCTAATCTGTTTTTCTAACTAGTATGTGGAGTCTTTGCTGGAGTCAATCTTGTGTGAATTTGCAAGTTGTTGAAACTCACTGATGTGTTACTACCGTGTCCTTGACGGGTTTCTTTGCTATTCTTTTCTGCTATTTTGTTTTCTGTTGCTATCTTTTGCCTGGAGGTGTTGATGTGGTGGTGTTTTGTTGTCTTTTTGTGGCACGTACTCCACATAGTATTTGCTCCATGTAATGTTTCTTTTCTAAGAATGTCTGAGAACGGCCGTCATATTCCAGGCTAGAGCATAGTGTTGCCTTTTTTCTGAGATATTAAAATTTCAATAAATTTCCTTGACAGTGTGTTAGTGTTTTTTACACTTCTGGACCGTTTTTCTGTATGGACTTTAGACTTTGCTGAAATGTCATCACCAGGATGCTTTCTGTAGTTAAGCGAGATGCCTTAAATATGTACAAATAATTGAAGGGGTTTTTGTGTGTGCTTCAGCCATTTTATTAATTGAGCAGCAAATCAAAACATCTATGAAACTTGGGTTCCTTCTTGGGAGAGAAAGTTCTGTTGTGAAAAAGATGCACTGTGTTGGCCATGCTAGCTGTATCCTTGAGAAATGGGTTGACAAGAACTGTATGGATCCACTTCTTGTACATAATTGTTCTTTAATTATGTGACGGCATGTGCAGAATGCAGTGAGCTTGTCAACGTAAGCATCTAGGTGTTCCATCCAGATTTGAGCTCGACTACTTGAGAAATTCCAGATGGTATGGATCTCCAAACTGGAGAGAGGCAAGAGTGATGCAGTTGCAGTAATGAGGCTGAAGGTGTGTTACTGACAGGTACATGCACACACATAATAAATCATACGTGCGTACATATGTGGCTGACTGCACAGCCCAGGGACTAACATGTGAACGGGAACAGCACCAACAGCCTCAGGTTGAGGGCTCAGCCTCTCCCCTCCCTTCCTGAGAAAAGCTGAGGTCCACTGCTGAGAATACATTATGATCCTTACATAAAGTGTGCATCTGTGACGTGAAGTCTGTGTATTACAAAATAATGCTGTTTCAAAGTACTGGTACGTATGTCTAATGATTTTTTTATGCCGCCCTTTGCCTTACACTTTCTGCAGGCTGGCAAGAATGTGTTTAAATGCTTTTCCGGCGTGCGCTTTGTTAATGTGACATAAATAGCTTTCATCAACTGCTGACGTGCAAAATGCTTTGTCTGCTTTTTAGGAAATGTGCAGTTACGTATGGCCGAAACTGAAAGACCAATTTAGAAAATTGATATCAGAGTCTAAAAGGCTTCGTGACTACAAGCATGTGCAACACAGGCAGCTTCCTGCTGTCTCGACTAAATACATATATCAGCAGTCTTTATAGTCTTAACAGGTACCTCCCTGAAAATGTGTCTTGAAGCACATCAACTGCTACCTGGGGAAGCAAGTCAGAAAATGTTTTAAAAATCCACACCGGAGCGTGGCTGCTGTAGAGAAGTCACATGGTGATCCCCAAAACTAGTGCCAGAATAGCCAAAGCCTCTGCTTTCCATGATTGAAAAGCTACAGCTGCCTCAGAATATTGGAGCCCAACTCCAAAGCAGTTTACGCAGACTGAAAACTCTAAAAAGGTGAATGTATTTTCACACTGCCTGTGTTTTGTTGGTGAAGGCTTCTGCCTTTCCTTGCAGATGCATAGGTAAGTTTCTCCCTTCATTTTCCCTTGTGATTTCTTGGTTTCTGAAGTATTTGACAGTTCCTACCTTATCTAACACTTAGAGCTCAGGCATTTAGAAAAGGTCTTGGTTATTCCATGGGGGATGTCCAGCTGCACAGATTGACCCCGAGGCAGGTTTTACCAAATGTTCAGAGTTGACATTTCTCATGCTTAAGCAAACAATAAAAGAAGTCTCATTTATTAACAGAACTGTGTTCAGTGTAATCTGCTCCTGTGCCCTCTTCCTGATTGCTGGGAGCTGGGGCATCAAAACACACGTGGCCTGACACTGGAACATGTTTGTTTGCAAGGGCACGTGTTACGTGTGAAGCTGTTGCCTCGAGGTACGGCTTTCTGCTGTAGATCAGAAGTTTTAGATGCAACTGATTCAGAACATCATAATGTTTATTAAGTCGTTTGGTGAAAAAGCACAGTGAATAATGGATAATCTAAAACCACACCAGTGTTAGTGGGTTAGAATTACATTATTATGTAGTATGTTTTTACAGCTATAAATCTATTCATTATTAGTCTTAAATCGTATAAACTATGTACATTTACTATCAAATTGTAATCGTATTTTCATAACCTCCCTAACACATGACACCAAAGCGTAAGTCAGCCACACCTGACCAGTTTCCAACACCCAAGTCTGTTCAGGCAGAGACCTGATGGGAATTCCAGGAGGTGTTCAAGGGATCTCTGGATTTGACTCTGCATGTTAGTGCCACTGCTGGGCAGTCTCAGCCTTATTTAGTTTTATTGTTGTGGTCACTTAGGTATAGGTGATTTTTCAGGATTCTGCATGCTTAAGTTCCTCTACAGTTGGCAGTATTAGTCAGAAGTCGGTAGTATTCATTCTTGCATTCTTAGTATTGTTTTTTTTTTTTAAGACTAGTCTATCTTTGATTTTATCTCACAGGCTCAATGCTTCCTATGTCTTTAAATATTGTCTCACTTCGTTTAAAGGAGATTTGTTTCCCGTTCTTTTTGCATGCTGCTTTTAAGAATTTATCAAGTAAGAAGGAATCTCTGTAAAGAGGAGAACTTTTCTACTGAGATTGACAAGGTAGAAGGAATTTTTATGGATAAACTTCAAACTGTTTTCTCATCTTCTGTATCGTACTGTATTTAGCTATTACTCTTATTGCAGGCTGTCATTTGGAAGGCACCTGATTTGAGAAGAGGGTGGAGCTGATCTGTTTGTGGCTGGGATGATGGACAGTATTTTGCTTTTCCGAGTCTTTGTTGTGGGTGGGGACAGAGCACTCCTTCACTGTGGGAAGAGAAATAGAGCAACAGATACCAGCACTGTAAGTATTTTCCCACTTTTGGCAGAAAGCTGTCATTAACGCCTATGTTCTTTTCGCAGCAGTCAAGAAAACTGCTGTTTTTTCCATTGTTTTTAAGTATAACATGAAATACTCCAACCACACCCACCAGCAAAACACATCAAATGTGAAATGATAAGCTGATAACTGGTGTAGTAGGCCTACTTTCATCAATTACATCTTGCCTTGTTAGCATTGAGGGGTGGGGTTTGGATTGTAGAAGATGCTGCTCTTAGTTGTTTCTTTCTGTGTAGAACTTGCAATGCCACGACTGCCTCCATCTTCATTCAAACTAAACACATCGTTGAGGTTCCACAAAAAGATTTTTGTGAATACTTGAGGCAGTGTGTGTTCACATGGATTTACACATTAGTCATCAATTTTGTGTCAGTTGCTGGAAAGAATTGACTGTGTAAGTGTTCTGGGATAGTGGTACCTCAGTTATCTGCATTGTTGTTATTTCAGTTGTGTTACTGTTTTCATGTTTCCCAGTCTCTGAAGATTTTCAAGACCTACATGTTTTGCTTACACCGACATGAAAAACTTGTCCTGCAAAAAGTACAGGAGCAAGACTGTGTAGCTTTGTGGGACAGCTCAGGAAAAAAAAAAATTGCAGTTTTGGTTTTCTTGTTTTGGGAGAAGCAACTTGATATTATTACTTCTGCACCTTGTGCTGTATGCCAGGATAAACTGGTATTTTATATTGCTTTAAAAATATTGTCCGTAGGTGTCTTGTTCTGAGTCTGGTACCTGTATGCTTATATACTGGTAAATGCCTATTTGGAATTTTTTATTGTGTTTAAGAAAAAACAA